TTTAATGTTACAATATTAAGCATAGAAAATGTTTTGCATGCATTTCAGACAAAGCGGACACACCACTGACTGACAGACTGCAAGAGGTACGGTAATTCAACCTTCAGATTCGTGAACCATAACTATTAACAATGTTACAACAGCAATTTTTATTTTTTCTATTAAAAGTAATAAAAATAAAAATTAATAATGCATTTACTAAATGACTAATTAAACTAAAGATGGTATTTGTGATTAGTAATGAAATAAACCATAAGAGCAATAGTAGTAACAATAAAAATAAGAATGATTAAGAGTGATAAGATAAAAGATAAAAGATAAAAGATAAAAGATAAAAGATAAAAGATAAAAGATAAAAGATAAAAGATAAAAGATAAAAGATAAAAGATAAAAGATAAAAGATAAAAGATAAAAGATAAAAGATAAAAGATAAAAGATAAAAGATAAAAGATAAAAGATAAAAGATAAAAGATAAAAGATAAAAGATAAAAGATAAAAGATAAAAGATAAAAGATAAAAGATAAAAGATAAAAGATAAAAGATAAAAGATAAAAGATAAAAGATAAAAGATAAAAGATAAAAGATAAAAGATAAAAGATAAAAGATAAAAGATAAAAGATAAAAGATAAAAGATAAAAGATAAAAGATAAAAGATAAAAGATAAAAGATAAAAGATAAAAGATAAAAGATAAAAGATAAAAGATAAAAGATAAAAGATAAAAGATAAAAGATAAAAGATAAAAGATAAAAGATAAAAGATAAAAGATAAAAGATAAAAGATAAAAGATAAAAGATAAAAGATAAAAGATAAAAGATAAAAGATAAAAGATAAAAGATAAAAGATAAAAGATAAAAGATAAAAGATAAAAGATAAAAGATAAAAGATAAAAGATAAAAGATAAAAGATAAAAGATAAAAGATAAAAGATAAAAGATAAAAGATAAAAGATAAAAGATAAAAGATAAAAGATAAAAGATAAAAGATAAAAGATAAAAGATAAAAGATAAAAGATAAAAGATAAAAGATAAAAGATAAAAGATAAAAGATAAAAGATAAAAGATAAAAGATAAAAGATAAAAGATAAAAGATAAAAGATAAAAGATAAAAGATAAAAGATAAAAGATAAAAGATAAAAGATAAAAGATAAAAGATAAAAGATAAAAGATAAAAGATAAAAGATAAAAGATAAAAGATAAAAGATAAAAGATAAAAGATAAAAGATAAAAGATAAAAGATAAAAGATAAAAGATAAAAGATAAAAGATAAAAGATAAAAGATAAAAGATAAAAGATAAAAGATAAAAGATAAAAGATAAAAGATAAAAGATAAAAGATAAAAGATAAAAGATAAAAGATAAAAGATAAAAGATAAAAGATAAAAGATAAAAGATAAAAGATAAAAGATAAAAGATAAAAGATAAAAGATAAAAGATAAAAGATAAAAGATAAAAGATAAAAGATAAAAGATAAAAGATAAAAGATAAAAGATAAAAGATAAAAGATAAAAGATAAAAGATAAAAGATAAAAGATAAAAGATAAAAGATAAAAGATAAAAGATAAAAGATAAAAGATAAAAGATAAAAGATAAAAGATAAAAGATAAAAGATAAAAGATAAAAGATAAAAGATAAAAGATAAAAGATAAAAGATAAAAGATAAAAGATAAAAGATAAAAGATAAAAGATAAAAGATAAAAGATAAAAGATAAAAGATAAAAGATAAAAGATAAAAGATAAAAGATAAAAGATAAAAGATAAAAGATAAAAGATAAAAGATAAAAGATAAAAGATAAAAGATAAGAATGATAAGACTTATAATAATAATAATAATAATAATAATAATAATAATAATAATAATAATATTAATAATAATAATATAATAACAGTAATGATAATAATAACAATAATAATCATTATTATTACTGTTATCATCATTACTAACATTATCATTATAATAATGACAGTTACCATAAAATAGTAACAAATCCGAATAATAATAGTAATAATTTCCTCAAAAAAAAATCATAAGAATTGCAATAACATCAATAAATTTAATAACATTAATAACAATTAAAAAGAAAAAAAAATAGTAACAATTAAAAAAAGTAATAATTGCAAATAACAATAAAAACAATGATAATAATAATGATAATAATAATAATAATAATAATAATAATAATAATAATAATAATAATATAATAATACCAACAACAATATTAATAACATCAATAATAATAATAATGATAATAATATTAATATTAATGCTCCAAACCAAATGCTTCCTTGCCAAGTCACATACCAGTCTGGTTGTTCAGGAGTTAGCTGTTCCATGGAGGTGGTAGTAGTAGTAGTAGTAGTAGTAGTAGTAGTTAGTAGTGGTTGTGGTGATGGTTGGTGAACAGGGGGTTGTTAGTTACATGAAATTCTGGGCGTCAATACTGAGTTGGCTACGGTTATCCCCAGAATCTCGTTCCTGCTTTTATATATAATCCGGGAGCCGCGGGCGACGGATCCATCCGAGAAAGTGACCATGAAACAAAAAGCGAAAAAGAAAGAAAGAAAATAAGCTCGAACACAAAGGGGCCAAAAGCGAAGAAGGACTTGCTATCTAGGCTACTTGGGGTGTGTGTGTGTGTGTGTGTGTGTGTGTGTGTGTGTGTGTGTGTGTGTGTGTGTGTGTGTGTGTGTGTGTGTGTGTGTGTGTGTGTGTGTGTGTGTGTGTGTATTTTGTTTTGTTTGCACATGAGCGTGTATGGGCGTGTTCAAGTGTTCAAACACATCCGTGCTGGTTTTCACACGTATGCATTCAAATATATATGTGTATGGCTGTGTAAGTGGCACATATGAGAATGTGACATACGAATATGCAAGCATCTGTGCAAGTGAATCACATGTATGTCTGCAGTGGTTAAGTACTCATGTGAAAATGGTAACAAGCATAACTGTAAGCAAATCTGTATATTTCCATTGTCTTTCGGTGTGGTTTGTTTCATGGTGCAAGCCAGGGCTGTGCTGGTATGTGCTCTGCAGTGCTGTAAGGTGTCGCAGTGCCAGACAATTTGCACTATGGTTGATCTCTGGGTATAAGGCTAGGGTCCTTCAAATTCATATACTGATCATGTTAGATAGAATTGATTTCTCTCTTAAAAATTAAGGGGGAAAAAAGAAAAAAGAAAAATACAAAAGAAAAAATAGATAAATAAATGAAGTGATAATAATAATGAAACTAAAGCCAATGTAAAACTCAATTTGATATTACATTATAACACACAAAAGAGATATGTGGATGGTATTCATTCATAAAATCATGGTCAATTACATTATAAAACTAACATTTTTTTCACAATGGAAACATACACTGATTATTTCTAACTTACAATTACAAATCACATTACAATGACATGCTTAAACATATAAATAAAAAAAAACAAAATTCTATTTTACTTAAAAAACAATCATGAATAATCAATTCATGTTCTCTCATTTATCAAAGATGCATCTGCAAGTGTATATGTTTGTGTATGTGCATGTAAAGTCCTATGTAGGGAAAAGTCAACTACAATAGAAAGGTAATATACATATAAATATAATTCCTAATGGCTATAAGGTTAAAATCACTACACTTGTACAAACAGCCAAAAGAATGGCATCTCTATGAAAATACTTTGGCATTCCCTACAGCACAAGGTACATCAATTTACTGCTAAAAAAAATGTGTATACATGTCTATATATGTATATAAATGTATACATATACATTTTAAATATATATATATATATATATATATATATATATATATATATATATATATATATATATATATATATATATATTTATATATATATATGTATATATATATATATATACATACACTTATCTATTATAGATTACTCAAACTGATACCAGTTTGCATTTTCTACAATGCATGTTAGTCACCTAAAGAGAGCTTTGAAAGGAAGCACGTATGTACAATGAGAGGTTCTTTGTATGTAATTATAAGTCAAATGCTGCATCGTTTCTGCATTTTAACTGCATAGATTTTGTCTCTATTTTTCTTTCTTTTCTTTACTTAGTCTTACATTCATGTAGATACAGGTATTTAGCAATTATGGATAGTCTAAGAACAAAGACAAATAAAGAAACAAGTACAATGTAGAAAACAAAATGGGTAGGTTTGTTATAGCAATAAAACAAAAATAGCAATGAAAGCTATACTACAAAAATGTATAAAATAAATGGAAGTAATTACACACACACACACACACACACGACCAAATTCAAGCAAACGAGCAAGCAGATACTCAGAAGCAGAATCACTCTCACGAACTCCAGCAACTGACCCGGAAAATCCCTTCCAATAAAATGCTTAATGGTACCACCTCCAGGAAATGAAGCAACCGCTAGAGTGTGCCGAACTGGAACATAATGACACTAAACATGTTATGATAACGACATATCCACAAAGGATAGAGATAAAAAAAAAAAATAATAAAATAAATGCCTACATTGGTCAATATATCCCAAAAGATAATCCAGTTCTAGACCTACAAAAAGAAACTCTCAAAATTCCATCCATAGACATTCTCACAGTCACACACATGAATATATACACACACACAAACACAATCTATAACCCTGTATTACCATTCATCCATCCATCCATCCACTCAATCCACACGCAAGGAGAATGCAAGGATCATTAGAGAAATAAAATTACATTTCACACCACTGTATATTTCTAGGTGTCACATGAGATGAAAAAAGAAAAATGTCCAGAGTTATTCAAACTAATGATGAAAATGGGCATCCTCTTACTACTATAACCTGAGCTGAGACTGGTTGCAAGTTGTAAAGCACGATACATTTGGTCATTTTAAGTAGTTATCAAGTCTGAATGCATAGTGTTATAAGTTATTTAAAATCTTGTGGCACGACTTATCAAATAGTTTTAAGTTCTCTTTAAAAACAGAGGGAAAGACACACAACACATCATACATAAGAC